TTTTAAGCCAGAAAGTGCCCTGTTTTGTGCTGTCAATATTTTGTTGGTTCTTGTGGGCTGCAGGAACCACATGGGCTGGGATAGCCCAACGGCTAGAAAGGAGCTGCATAGTGGGTGGCTCAGCACATTGCAGAGATCCAGCCACTGACTTCACCTGTTGTATGAACCAGGTTGTTGCAGTAAACCACCATGTTTTGTGTTTGGGCATGGCATTATAGCTTCACGTTTAGGATTAAATGTGTTAGATGGACTGAGCATGTTAGTCTAGAGTACTGTTTCTTTTTGCTCTTAGGATCCCTTCCCACTGTTAAAAATTATAGAGGACCCCAAAAGAGCTTTTGTTCATATGGGTTATATTTATTGATATTTACTGTATTAAACATTAAAATTGATGCATTTGTAGAATATTTATTGAATCATGTAAAAATAACTATTAAATCCATTAGGTATTAACATCAATAACATTTTTCATGAAAAAACCCTATATTTTTAAACAAAAATAATGAGAAAAGTGACATTGTTTTAAATTTTTGCAAATACCTTCAATATCTGGCAAATAATTCTGATTTTGCAGACCCCTGAGAGGGTCTTGGGGGACCCCCAGAGGTCCTTGGACCACACTTTAAGAAACACTGGCCTAGAAGGTTTCCAATTCTGACACTTTTTCCTATTCTGTTCACCTCTAAAGATTGTTTTGCACTCTGAAGGTATCTCAGTATCCTGGAATATCAGAAAGCGATCAAACGTGCACACACAGTGGGAAAGGGCACAGATACGTTGAAACGGTGTACATGTGCATGCAAATGAGAATTGTAAACTAACTGCGCAATAGGACTGGGCAAAGTATTTGGCTTCCCAAACTATGTTAGCATGAGTGAAGCATCTCCTGAAGTCTTGTGCAGCCATGCCATTTCAAAGGCTGTCTCCTGGGATTGTCTCTATATGTAGCTGCTTCTCTTTGAGGGTGACCCCAGTAGAAGTGTTGCCAGAAACGCAAAGTTCAAGAGGAATTATTTGTATTCTTTTAGTTTAGTTTCCAATGTCCCCAAATCACATTTGGAGGAATTTGGGGTTTTGAAATACTAGAACCACAAAATCCAACCATAAGACACAGATGCAAAAAAATAAAATAAAATAAAAAATAGTGCCTTCGCCAATAAGGTGTTCTCCAGATGTGTGGACTCTTCACCTTCTATAATCTGCAGCCACGTGTGGAGACATACCAAATGGGATGGAGCCAACTATTCATAGCTCCCACAAGTAGTATACAGTATTGGGCTGATCTTCATATAGGAAAAGAAGTTGCCATGTTAATTAGCATGCTGTGCTTCATTTGGAGAGAAAGCCATTTCTTATTGTTGCCATTATTAAAGTACTGCAAGTCCGCAATCCTTTTTGGATTGCTGCAAATCTTATTATCCTACAATAAATCAACAGGCAGGCACCCTTTGCGTTAACTGACAGAAACTCACAGACAATGCTTATCCTGCATGCTGTTACATCCAGTGAGAGTTTTTTTATTTATAAAATGTATACCGCTTTTCGTTTATTAAAAACAATCCCAAAGCAAGAGAAACAATGAATTAAAACAAGTTTCAATGACATAATTTTGCAGTAAAATTGCTGTCTTGCAATACATTCCCTCCCCAATTCCCACATCTTAAAAAACAAAACAGCTAAAACTCCATAGCACAAAACTGTGTAACAAGAACATCCATAGCAAATAGATGGCACGGTAGCCCAAATTTAGGGCTGGGCAGACTGTCCCTGAAAGCTTCTATGGAGCAGCACCAATTAGAACTGAACAGGAAGTTAATTCCAAATCAGGGCCTTGTATTAATTGTGTTAGGGGTGCCCTCCTCATAGCAAACCTCTGACACGTTGGGCTCTCTCAAGAGAGCACCTCTTGTGGGACTTAATTCTCCAGTGAGTATGAAGAAGAGAAAGATGCTCTGTCAGGTTTACGTTCCCTTCCTGTAATATTTAATAGCGTTTGGAGGGTATTTGTTTTCAGTTCTCTGTTACAAAATGGCCCAAAGGTTTTCTTCCCAGTTCTGCCTTCCAGAGACGGAGGGTGTACGTTTTCCTCAGAGTACTTTTTCTTTGGAAGGACAAATAAAGTTGTACCCTAGAAACTCACAGCTAGGACAGTTCTGCCCGCCTGCCGAGGAACTGCAGCTCTGTAAATTACCCTTTGTAGGATTCCCTTGGCTCCCTCACTTCTTTCTCCCAAATCACTTGTTAAGCACTCATACACCCCGGGATGCCACTGATGGCCAAATGGGAAGTTGTTAATTTGTGCTTTGGGAGCATGGAGTTCTCAGGCTGTTAATGTCCAGAGCTTCGTAGATTTACACACTATGCAATTGGCAAGGCAATGAAATCTCCCAGCAGCCAGAGCATTTTATGAGACGAAGTTCCTTCTGAGGGTTTGAAAGAGGCCAAGAGACGGAGGGCCCGTTTTTGTTTGGCAGGAAAAAGTGGATTTAGTGATTCTGACTTCTCGCTGCTCTCTCTCCCTCCCCACTTTGAATTATAGAAATATTTGTGATTGTGCACACTGGAAATGCATAGACTGCAGCAGGACATTCTGAATTAGCTGCAAGTATCTTGTCCCCTTGATTGTTGTGAACTCTGAATAATACATACACAACGTTTCAATCCGTGGCACAGTGGATTTGCACTTTTATTTCTGGGGCCAATTCAGCATGCTGGTTGTAACATAAAAATAAAAAATGGTGTGGAGTCAGGATATTCAAAATATTGATTCTTCTGATATGTACCTACCTATAGCGGCAAGCCTGGGAGGTTTCAAATGTCTGCTCCCAAAAGCCCTTTGAATGTTCACACCCTGGCCCACCTTACTGCCATGGTGGAGCAGTTTGGTAGGGATCCCACAGCCTAGCTGCTTTACTAGCAAATAGAAAAAAAACATGAAAAATAAATTCTCTAGCTTGGCAGCACATGACTAGGGAGGTAATCAGCCCACCTCTTGTGAGAATCAGATCATTATCTCAGGACAGAATTAAAACCAAACATTAAGAGGAATAAGAATGTAAAAAAATCTAAATAGTCACATTGGCGTACGAAATAAAAAAAACAGCGCTGCTAAAGTTGCAAACAGTCTTAAAAGGAGTCTGTCATAGAATGCTACGGAAGAGAAGGCAGGCAGATCACAGGACGGGATGGACCTGCACTTAAAACCGGGGGCTGTGCTGGATCAAACATATAAGAACTAACCTTGCATAGCGGAAATAAACATATAGTCTTTGAATGCCTGAGCCAACAGCGGTGAGAGCAAATGTAGGGAAGGTGCTTCCTGCCGCTTCACTACACTGCCTCTGTAGTTTATAATTTTCTTTTGGATCCTGTCGCGTCTCAAGACCAAGAGGGACTGGGCAGGGAGGATCTTTTTGGTGGTAGCCCCTGCCTGGGTTTTCTTCCTTAAGGAGGACAGCGCTCCTTCTGTAAGGACGGCCCTTTGGCCTAGCTTTCGGTGAGCTGTGAACCCCTTTCTGTGCCTTGTGAAATACTTTGCACAATCAGATTTTCTCAGTAGCTTCGATTCTTGCTTTGTCAGGCTGATTGTGCTGCGCCAAGGGGTTTTTGCCGAAGTCTCTTCTGAGAGGGGCTAAAGGCATTCATGGCTTTAAGGCTCAATATGATTTTAGATCAGATGAGTTACATTCGCGTCAGTGCCCGGATTCCTGAGTTGCTTTTCCGAGATCCGAGTCCCAAACTTTTAACCTGCCAAAGGAGATCTTTCTGGATCCACGTTTGGGATTATTTTGGAGGGCAAGACTGAGGCGTGATGTCTCCATGCTCCATTTAGAGCACCCTCTGAGTAATCAGCCGCCGATGCACCCTTGCTGAATAAATATTCTCCCTGCTGAAGTGCGGCTCTTGAATTTTATTTTATCTTTTTTCAGGACAGCAAGGGAGCACATGTTGGGAGGTGGCTGTTTGTCTTTAATCACAGCACCAAGCCTTTATAGGTTATTTACAGTACTGTTTTGTATCTTGAGTGAATGTTTTACTAATTATGGTAATAAAAAAGGCAATAAAAGGCACATTCCCGGTGGAGGAATATATTTGGAGGCCTTCCCTGGTTCACTTGTAAGCAGAGCTGTGATAGAAATTGCTCACCCGCTCAGCGGTGGAAGAAATCAGGCGGTTACCAGCGAGCTGCCATGGATCAAGGTGCGATGTGAGGGAGGTGGTGTTATGACGGACTGGAAGGAAGAGAAGGGGGCAGATTTTGGCCCCTCTCCCCAAATGCTGTGCTTAAGGGGCATTGGATTAGGACCACGGCCAAACCGGGGGGGAGGGGCAGGATTAGGAGGGTGTTTGGCCTGGTCCTCGTGCACAAAGCAGGACCCAAATTTAAGCGCTGGCTTTTTTTTTTTAATTTAAATTTTTCTTTTTCATTTTTCACTTTATAAGTAGTGTCACTGTGTCTTACACAGCTTTGCAAATATTGCCATTTATTTTATTTTTAGGACAGCTAAGGCCCTCAAAAGCTTGGCAAGTGGCCTAGGTCTTGCTCAGTCTCTGAGAGGTCTTAGTGAGGATGTTAGCCCAATGAAGATGGTCAACCTTTTTCCCTCGGGTAATTGCTGCCTGCATGGCGGACAGAAATTCAACAGGTGAAGGCTTTCTGGCTATGGGGAGACAATATTTGAAGGAACCACCTCCTCTTGAATTTTCGGATGTTATGTGGGTGTTAAACTTCTGGAATTCTTCCAGGAAAAAAATATTCAGTTTTGTATCTGGTTACCTGACTGGCTTGGAAAAAAAAATCATTTTCATCACAGCAAAATCATCAGTGCAGGTGTTGTTTACCAATTCCTGAGCAGCCTGCATTGCTTCTGTGAAGCAAGGGGGAATTTAGATTTTCCAGTTAGGGCAAAGAGAATCTGGAATGTTCCATCATAGAGTAAAATGCCTGAACCAGAATAGTTTCCAGAAATTACATTATGGTATTTCTTTCTTTCATTTCAGCAAGCCGTGCTTCTTAAGGCTCTAAGGAAAGCTGCATTATCACTAGAGGCCGTAGAAAGGCAATGCTAGAATGGGGTATTAGAAATGCTCTGTGACGTTTCAGCAAGAGAATCAGCCTGGTAAGAAAAAAAAAAGTTCACTTATAAAAGTTATATCACAAACCTGTCATGCCTTTTCCATTTTCCATAAGAGCGTACAAATATTTTTCAAGCCAAGGTTTGTACCAGTCCGTACTCACCAAAACAGCTATGACTGGGTCTAAAGCATGTAGCCAGATTGTCCTCACGGTTAATCTGTGTGGTTTTCCTGCCCTAGGGTCCTGCTCCTTCAGAGGAGGTTTGATCAGGCTCAGGGTCCAAACGCAATAATTGCATCTAAATTGTGCCGAGAAAAAGGAGTTGACGTTTTCTGAAGGTGGTGTGCAGTCTTGGTTTTTCCACACTCTTTTAGTGTAAAGAATGTTTACATGTTTACTTTGGAGAAAAAGGAACACAACCAGAAAATGAATTAAGCTGGGATTCAACTAGTGTTGACAATAGACATGTATGAAATAGCCCATGTTGAAGGCATGGATGTTGGAGAACATCAGAAATAAAGAGCAGAACTTTGAATGAGGTGTGGCTTAGGTTTAGTGAGAAAGTAGGTTTACTCATGGTCTTTTTCCTTTCTTCATATCAGATTTACGTTATCTGGAATCCTTCGTTGTCTACAACTGCATGCATGCATACGCAGATAGATATTTACGTATGCATGTAGATCTTGGGAACTGATGCTGCTTTTCTCAACTGCCAGGTGGAGCAGCTCCAATGAACTCCTGTGAGGCTCCCATAAACTTTCTGGAAGAGGGTGGTCTGGCTGAACAGTTTCTTCACATTGAGCGAGAGCAGGTAGTCCGCCTGAATTCACTCAGCTTCCTTGAGCCTGTCCAGTATGTTTATAATCCTTTGGATTACGCGTGGGAGCTCCACCAGGACTATGTGCGTAAATATTGTTGCTCTCGGAAGGAGGTGCTCTTTCTTGGGATGAACCCGGGGCCTTTTGGCATGGCCCAGACTGGGGTAAGCAGACAATAAAGGTTGGGGACGGAGGGTAAGGGTCACGAGAAGAGAACTGAATCTGCAGCAAAGTGCAGGCTAGGACTGTACACGTATTCCGAATGCCTGGGCATACGCCTTCAGATCATACAGTGCTCATGTTCATCTAGTTCTACCTTAGTACGCAGCCACCAAGCCTCTCCTTAAAAACCTCCTTAGGAAGAAATGTCCACTGCCTTCCAAGGAGTCTCTTCCATGGTCAGATTGCTTGCATGATAATATTTAGTCCCTTGCAGTTTTAATCAGTTGATTTGACTTTTGCCTTCTGGGGCTACAGGAAATAAATTTGCTCCACTGTCTACAGGATAGCAATTTCAATACCTGAAGATCGCAATGGAAGCCTGTTAAGTTACCTTCTCTAAGATACTAAAGGCAGCCAACTCTTTCAACTTTTCCTTAAGATCTTTCACCCATCTTTGTTTTCTCAATGTGTAATGTAAAGGTACAGGTAATTCATGTGAATGGGCAGAAGGAAGGACCAACAAAGAGGAAGTAGAGGTGAAAAACCTGGTGGGACCCTCCTTTAATCTCGTTCTCCCTAGAAGTTGGGACTGATATTAGTTGTAGTCCAACACTTGGGATCTACCAGTTCTGTTTGAGAACTAGTCATGTAACCTCAGGTGAGAAAGAATTTTATGCGTGTGAGTTAGCACTGTGTCCCCCCTCTGTGTCTAGCACAGAAGTACAATAGGCTAGTAGCTTCTGTAGTCCTTTTTGCATGGCTGTACTAACAGGAGCAAGTGGATGAATGTGACTAGGTGTGCGAATGTCAAGTGTGGCTCTACTTCTTCTCTACTCACAGTAGTCTCAGTCCTGCTTTGTTCATTCTAAAAGGAAATACTCCAAGTAGGTATATATAGTAAGTATATATAAAAAGTATAGTCACTCTCTCACTTGTTTCTCCAGTGGCCTCCAGTGCCTGTCAGATTGCTGAATCTCAAAAAGTAATCTTCTTGTCGTGAGATTATTGGGGATAGTAGTAAAATAGCTCATAGGTAAGACCTTTTGCTATATTTTTTTTTCTGCAGAAGGTCTATACCTGTCTGTATTTCTGGGTTAGTGAGTTTTTCTTGTCTCCTCAATTTCCTACATGTGGCATTTATCTTGTGTGTGGCATCTGTATTCATTGTCTCCTCCCGCTGTAGCCAAGTTAACACCCAGACAGATAATTCAGTTTCTGCTTTGATGCTATGCTGGGAAAGGAAATGGGTAGGGAATTGATAGCATGGCAGAGTGCTTGCTGAGATATTGTGATTTAAACATATGTGGGTGTATATGTGTAAATTGATTGATTTTTCTCGGAATGTCAGAAGCACTTAGCCCAAAAAAGTGGCTTCCAATCTTCCGTACAACAATTATAAGTACAATTATAAATTTACCTCTTACTGTATGGTTACAACATGGCTTTCTTCTTTCTGTAATCTATCCTGTCTAATCATCAAAACCATAAATCATAAGTTCACTTTTTTCTGTTTTACACAAAAAGTCCATAAGGGGTTTCCAGTCAGCAGTAAACGTAGATACTGTCTTTTCTTTGATCAAAGGAGTTGGTTTAGCCATCTTAGCAAGTTCCATCTTCTTCACCAACCATTCCTCCATTGTGCGTAATGCCAAATCTTTCCATCTTTGTGCATACAATAATCTCGCTGCAGTTATCATGTACAAAAACAACATTCTATGGCTTTTTTTTAACAGTTTGTCCTTCAATCCCAAAAGAAAAACCTCTGGTGTCAATTGTATATTAATGTTTAAAATCCTCTGAATCAGTGTGTGTATTTGAATCCAAAATGTCTAGGTTTTTTACGTGTCCACCAAACATAACAAAATGTCCCTTCTTATTCACATTTCCAACATAAAATTGAAGTACCTTTATATATTCTAGACAATTTCTCTGGTGACATACACCAATGGTACCTCATTTTATAAAAATTCTCTTTAAGATTATAACATTTCAATCCTTTCAACCACATATTTTCCCATTGTGTTCCATCTGTATATTACAACCAAAACTTTTAGCCCACTTTATCATACATTCTTCCACTTGTTCTTCTGTTTCAAATTTCAATAAAAGTTTATCCATTTTAGCAATTACATGTTCATCAGTTGTACACAATTCTATTTCAAACTCTGTCTTACAGTGTTCAAAACCATAAATTCTTTTGCTACTTTAAATCTAATAACTGTAAATAAGAAAACCATTGGCAACTATATCCCTCTGCCACCAGTTATTCTCTTGATTTTATTTTATATTCCCCTTGACAGAATTCTAGCATCTCATGATAAGTTAGCTATTTGCATTTGCCTATTATTTCTTGTCTATAAAATGCTTCTTGTGCTGAGAGCCACAAAAGTGTTTTCAAGT